TCCCGCCCGGGTGACATCGTTCCTCCCCGGCGCGGCTATAAAGCCGCCGCCGCCGCCGCCGCAAGGTGCGCGCTGCTGCCGTGCTCGCCCGTCACGGCGCGCCGCTCCCCACGGCCGCCCCGCGCACGGTAAGTGCCTTCCGCGCCCGCGCACCCCAGCGCGGCACCGTTACTTCCCCCCCCGCCCAACCTCTTCCCTCCTCCCTTCCCCCGAGTCCCCGGCCCGGCGGAGAGGCGCGGAAGGAGGGACGGAACGGGACGGAACGGGACGGGACGGGGAGGGGAGGCGCCCCCCCGAGGGCGGCCCCGCGGAGCGGCGGCGGAACGGGCCGGTCCGGCGGTCGGCGGCGGTGCCCCGCTAAGTTTCGGCGGGCGCTGACCGAGCCGGGGCCTCTCTCCCCTCCCCGCAGGCAGCCCGGTGAGTGCCGCCGTCCCGCCCGCCGGGCCATGGACTCGGACGCCAGCCTGGTCTCCAGCCGCCCGTCCTCCCCGGAGCCCGATGACCTCTTCCTCACGGCCAGGAATAAAGGCAGCGGCGGGGGCTTCACGGGGGGCACCGTGTCCAGCTCCACGCAGAGCGACTCCCCGCCGGAGCTGAGCGCCGAGCTGCGCAGCGCCATGAGCGCTGCGGGGGTGGTGGTGGTGGACAAGCTGGGCTTCAAGTCCTCGTCGTCCTCCTCCTCCTCGTCGTCCTCCTCCTCCTCCAAGAAGGACAAGAAGCAGATGACGGAGCCGGAGCTGCAGCAGCTGCGGCTGAAGATCAACAGCCGGGAGCGCAAGAGGATGCACGACCTGAACATCGCCATGGACGGGCTGCGGGAGGTGATGCCCTACGCCCACGGCCCGTCGGTGCGCAAACTCTCCAAGATCGCCACGCTCCTCCTGGCCCGCAACTACATCCTCATGCTCACCAACTCCCTGGAGGAGATGAAGCGCCTGGTCAGCGAGATTTACGGCGGCCACCACGCCGGCTTCCACCCCGCCGCCTGCCCCGGCGGCATGGGGGCCCATTCCGCCCCTCTGCCCGGCCACCCGGGCCACCCCGCCTCGCACCCCGTCCACCACCCCATCCTGCCCCCCGCCGCCGTCTCCAGTGCTTCCCTGCCCGGCTCCGGCCTCTCGGCCGTCAGCTCCATCCGAGGAGCTGCAGCAGCTGCGGCTGAAGATCAACAGCCGGGAGCGCAAGAGGATGCACGACCTGAACATCGCCATGGACGGGCTGCGGGAGGTGATGCCCTACGCCCACGGCCCGTCGGTGCGCAAACTCTCCAAGATCGCCACGCTCCTCCTGGCCCGCAACTACATCCTCATGCTCACCAACTCCCTGGAGGAGATGAAGCGCCTGGTCAGCGAGATTTACGGCGGCCACCACGCCGGCTTCCACCCCGCCGCCTGCCCCGGCGGCATGGGGGCCCATTCCGCCCCTCTGCCCGGCCACCCGGGCCACCCCGCCTCGCACCCCGTCCACCACCCCATCCTGCCCCCCGCCGCCGTCTCCAGTGCTTCCCTGCCCGGCTCCGGCCTCTCGGCCGTCAGCTCCATCCGACCTCCCCACGGGCTCCTCAAGTCGCCCTCGGCCGCCGCCGCCGCCGCCGCCCCGCTGGGCAGCGGCTTCCAGCACTGGGGGGGGATGCCCTGTCCCTGCAGCATGTGCCAGGTGTCGGCCCCCCCGCACCACCACGTCTCCGGCATGGGCACCGCCAGCCTCCCCAGATTAGCCACCGACACCAAATGAGCCCCCTGAGCGGGGGCCGCCCCGTCCTGCCCCGCGCCGTCCCGCCACCTCCAGGACCTACGAACGCGGCCCCCCCTCCTCGGCGGCAGCGGGTCCCCCCCCCTCTCCCCGGGCTGCCGGGGCCGTCGGAGGGGCGGCGGGAGGGGATGGAGCCCGGCCCGGGGTCTGCCCCGCTGCCGAAACGGCGGGGAAAACCACCCCGACGCAAGCAAACGCCCGCGCATCTTCTCGATTTTTAATTTCCCGTTGTTGTCGCTATAACTTGGCTGGGAGGGGAAAACAGCCCTAGGCTCGTCGCCAACGGAGGAACCAAAACTGCAGAGGGGTTTTTCGCTTGTTTGTTTGTTTGTTTGTTATTTGTTTGTTTCCCCACATCCCTCCCGGTTTGCGTTTCTACACGCAGAGCCTTTGGAGCCCTTTCTGGGTCACGTCCTGCCCCGCAGAGCCCATCCCCGTAGCATCCGGCCGCCTCTCCGGGCACTCCCGGCACCGGCGGAGAGCAGCTCCGGGGGCTCCGGGTCGGAAGCGTAGCCGGGAAAGTCGGTTTTATTTCCTCTTCCCCGGCTCCCCCGCCCTCCCTTTTCTCGGTTTATTCTTTCTGGTTCGGGATTTGTAAATATACCGTTCAACGATAACGATGCAAGTCCGCTCTGCCTGAGCTTTCCGTCCGTGCACTTGTACTGTGTAAGCCTCATGAGTGAATAAGGGGTCGGTTTGCCTTGATTTCGTTGGTTTGGGTTCTTGGGGTTTGGTTTTGGTTTATTTTTATTTTTATTTTAAGCGTATAACACTTTTTTGGTTTGTTTGTTGTTGTTGTTGTTGTTCCTGCCACCTTTTAACAAAAAGTTTGAACTCTTTAATGCTCTTTCTGTGTAGGAACTTTCACACTGTCCGTGTTGCAATACTGAGAACTTGGGCTTGTTTCTGAAATAACAACTTTTTTCTTATCGCTGCCCCTTGCAGAGATTTTATCATCTGTTTATTTTTGTAAAAAAAAAAAAAAAAAAGAAAAAAAGAAAAAAAAAAGAAAAAAAAAGAAAAAAGTTGCTAAATAATATTTATTACTTGTTTGGTTGCAAAAAAAAAAAAAAAGGGATCCCCTTTTGGGTTTTTAAAAAAAAAAAAAAAAGAAAAAAAGAAAAAAAAAAGAAAAAAAAAGAGAAAAGTTGCTAAATAATATTTTTTACTTGTTTGGTTGCAAAAAAAAAAAAAAAGGGATCCACTGTTGAGATTTTAAATAAAAAAAAAAAAGCATTTTAAAGAAATGTCCTTTTCCTCTTCCTTGCTGTCGAGAGGCGGGCGGGAGGCGGAGGCAGGTGCCGGTAGCGGCGCTGGTGCGGGACAGCGGCGGGACAACCGGCGCGGCGAGGTCACCGGCCGTCAAAGGCGGGAAGGGATGGGAACATTTTAAGCTCATCCTTGCCTTTTCCCGAAGTTTGGTTTTTTGGTTTTTTGGGGTTGTTTTTTTTTTTTTTTAGTTTCCTTCGCCGACTAATCGAAACCTTTTCGTTGGTTTGTTTGGGTTTTTCCTCACTTGTCCATCGCAGAGTAAGGGCGGCAAGGAAAGAAACGACTGGCACTAGGTTGGTAACGTGAAAAATTTTGTCTGCCGAAACCAGCACTTGGCAAGATCTAAATATTAATCCGGGGAAACATTAAACTTGGTGGTTTGGTGTTTTCTCGTTGTAATCGCTTCTGCGCACTTGACGTTCAACAAAAAAAAAAACACTAAGCCAACGAAAATCCACGGAATGGAACTGGGGACAGTTTTTTGGGTTGGTTTTGTTTGTTTGTTTGTTTTTTCTCCCAATAATGTCTCTCGCCCCTGTGTATTTTAACAATTCTCTACTTAGATATTTGGGAAATATTTCGCCCTCCCGCAGATCCCCAGGCTAGGGCTACCTTCACGCACGCAGGACGCGGGTGCGGAGCAGCCCTGTGGCTTCCCCTTTTCCTCTAAGGAGAACGGGAACAACCCAAACGAATCCCGGCTTTTGAGGAAAAAGAAGGTGAGCAGCCCAGGGCGGCTGCCGCTGCCCCCCGGGGTGGGGGGAGGCGGGACGGGGAACGAGGGTCCCCGGGAGCTGTTCCCGCGGTCCCGCTGCCCTCCGGGTGGGCAGGGAGACCGCAAAACCCCCGTCCTGGCCCGAGCAAACCCTCACACATCTCTCTCTAGACCCGTAAATGGCTGGAGAGCTATGTAAAATAGCCAGCTGGCTACACACGCAAAAATACAGGATAGCATATATATATATATATGTATAATAACAGACCATTGAGGAGTTTCTGGCGCACCCTCGGGGGAATGAGAGTGAGTCCGGACCTGAGGGATCTATTTTTTTTTTAATGCGTAAAGAGAAGGTGGTTCCCAGGAGGCCGGGGAGGGTCGGGGTCCCCGCGGGGTGGGAGCCCGTCCCGGTCTGCTGCGGTTCGCCCCCTCGGGGGAGGGAAACGGGGCTCGGAAAGGAGTGTCCCCCCCCCCCAGTGATGATGAGAAATACCGCTCCACACACCCTTCTCCAGAGACACCCAGCCCCCCAGAGAGAATGTCCCCTTCCCAGCACCGATTTTGGCAAACAAACCCTATTTAACGCCAGGAGGGATGAAGCCCCGGGGACCAAGGCTGAGGAGGGGGACAGGCCACAGGCAGGGCGGGCACCCCGCTGGTTGCCCCAGTGCTTTCTCCACCAGGAGAGCTCTCCCTGACCTTGGTGGCCAGGGAAGAGCGTTGGCACCGACCCTCCCTTTAAGGCCGCCTTAGGGTGGTAGCTCTGTGTCGGTCTGCGGCTTTGCGGGTGGTCCTTGCGGTACAAGGCACTCCGCTTCTTCTCCGGAGCGGGACGCGGAGCGGGGAGGGGGGG